GTATATTCTTGCCTCCTTTGTCGAAGATGAGTTGACCAAAAGTTTGTGGGTTCATTTCTGGGCTCTCTATTCTGTTCCGTTGGTCCATATGTCTGTTTTGGAACCAATAAGTGCTGTGTGATACTTCCAGAAATTGGCAATGTCAAAACGTAATGTCTTTTCTTTGATAGTGATAGGAGTTCTGTAACCTACGTGATCGATGTAATTTATCTTAAGATAGAAGCAGCAGCCCTGATTCTGGAGCAGACTGACCAAGTCGCGGTTATCATAGTTTACTGCTATTGGTCTTCTGGGTCTCTTTGCTCTCAGGACTAAATATCAGTCCTAGGTTACCGTCTCACTGATAAACTCACTCCCAGTATGACTGGTCCACAACATTTTCTGTCAACCCAGAGAAGACAACCTAATGGATTCCCCTCGATGAAATCAACTTTCCATTGTGGTTTGGCAGAACAAAGCATCACTGTCTCTTAAACTGTGAAAGGTAGAATTCTGTCCTCTTCTACTTTTGGAAGAGGGCAAGGGGAGAGTCCTTATCCCAGCCTAAATCCATGAAAGACACATCCTGGAGGTCATGAGCACTCATGGAGTTTGGCTAGTGAATAAACTGCAGTTTACTTCTTGGTGATGATACATGACGTGAAAAAATATATCTAAGACATACATGCCATTTGATAGTCATGTACTCAGCGTGGAATGGGGCAAAGAATTACTTTGATTCTAAAGTAAGTTTATCCTCCAGGAGCTCGTCATCAGTTAAATTAGTATTTCCCAGAGCACCCCAATCTCTTTTGATTGGAGTGACTCACCCCTTCATTTGGCACACCAGATCCTCATTTATTCATCTTGGTTCTATGTTCTTTATCTTATGAACTCTGGGAGAATGACTTGGTTCTAGAATCCACTTAAGAATAGTCAATTTCCAGATTGGGTCCAGGAGTCCGTGGTCTTAACTCCAGTAAGTATCCCAGCCCACCTATAGAATGTACCCTTTCCCTGATGTCTGTCCTGATGCAGACCCAGCAGGGCTGAGGGGTGCAGTTACACTTAGAAAAAGGACCCGAAGAAGACCAAGAACTGGACAAATATACAGTCTCTGATTTCCTACGAATCAGGTTCAGTGCCAGTCAAAATGGAGCCATAAAAGTGAAGAATGTCTGAATGCTGCAGAGATCTTTTACAGAATTACTTAGTTATTATCAAATGCATGTAATCATAGAAAACAGGCCAGGGACAAGTGAAATCTGGAAAAAAAGAGTAATTCCTTATACCTTCATTTTCTTAATCTTTTTCCCTGAAGTTTGGCAAATAATGAACTCTTAATATGTGCACATGTGAAAAATTTGGCTTTTTGGCACTAGCAATTACATGCTATTCTTGCAAAGGAGCGTTTACACATGGAGTAGTGTGTCTGAAAGGGTGCAGCTTGAGTCAGAGTTTAGTTGAGATCTTCAGTTGCCCCTGTGACATAAGGCTTCTGTGGTGACTAGATTGACTTCTCAAGAGCTTGCTTGAAATTGGCTTGCTATTTGGCACATAAGAAGTGTGTTTATGTCAGCATTAGCTGTTACTATTACTCTCTCGATCTGCTAGGCTCTGTTCTCCCAAGCTAAGGCCTCCTGCAGGTGGAGTTCAGGAGAGGACCTCTCCAACAACCATGGTTATGATAGCTAACTGTACATAGCATGAAGTGAGATTTTGAATGCTCCTCTTGACCTGAACTGAATAGTAGCAGCTCAGTTTAGCCTGTAAAAAATTCTCAGTTCTTCCTTATGCAGCCAAGATCCTCTCACCTTTTTCCTCACTCTTGGAATTCTTTTGATTCTCTCCAGGTAGCTTCATGTTCACATATATGCGGAGCCAGTAGCCTCTCAGTTTCTCCAGGTCTGCATCTCTGCCCGCTATCCCACTCTATCCATTACTTCTGGCACAAAAGGATCCTCCTTGGGAGGCAGGAGGAGGAGAAAGACCGTGAATAATTATACTTTGAATATTTTTATCTCTGTCAAAGTAAACAACTTTCTAAAATACATGAATATGATCCTACGAATCTTTCTAATCTGAAAGCAATGCCTAGAGTCTAGTCATTGGCATATATTGCTGTGGCAAATTTATTTTTTAAAATATACCATTTGCTGTCAAGCCCACTGGCAGCATGATAGAATCATTACTTTATTATTATTTGTTGTTTTTAAATTACTATAGCAATCTACATTACGAAACCTACCAAAGCCTGTATTTCTCTTTTTACTGAACCATCAGAATGGGTTGAAATTAATTCCAAATCATTTCTTAAAAAGAACATTCAGTGTTTCCTTGTTAGTCACTACTTGGCTGACAAAGACAAATTCTATTTTGAAATATTATGTGACATTACTTGGTATCGTTTTCCTATAAAGAAAAAAAAGTACACCTATTTTTCTGTTTAATGAACTAAGATAACTGAAGGCTATGGCACTCGATACATCTTGTGGCTTTTATGATATTGTCCAATTTTTGCATGATTCATAATTTACAACTCAAATGGAGAAGGCAGAGGTGGGCATGCATGGAAATGGCAAACCTGTTGTGTAGCACTTTTGAGGGTAGAGGCTTGATAATAATCAAGGTGAAGCGTTCCAAGCTCTTCTCCAAGTGTGCATCTAACTGCCAGCCAAGACATGTTTGCTCCACGTCCATCACTACTGAAGAGGAAAAGCCTACAGAACTCTCTAAGGCTGGCAAAGTTGGCACTTGCTGCCCTCTCCCCACTGCTTCCATTTTAAATTCCATCCTTCTCTAAACGGCAGCCCCAATTCCTGTCTCCCATCTCTTCCCTGGCCCCTTCTTTTCTCATGATGGCTGTGATGTCGAGCCACCCACCAAAAATTTGTGCCCCTCCCCCTTTCACAGTGCCCTGGGAAATGGCTGTCCTGTGGCCACATTTCCCAGCCCCATCTGCACCTGGGCAGAGCCATCGACTAGTTCTTACCAATGATCTGTGAGCATTTGGTGTGTGCATTCTTGGCCAAAGTGTTTAAGAAGCCTTCTTCATTGAAAGCAGAGGACTCGAGCCTTTAGGATGCTAGAGCTGCAATGGGGAAGGAGTCTGGGTCTCTGCTGTTCCCCTGGAGCAAGGACTTTCAGTCACCAAGATGCCTCTCTTGTGTATTACATGATTAAGAAATAAGCAGCTATTGTCTTAGATCACAGACATTTTTATAGTTCAAACAGCGAACATTATCCGACCTAGATAATAAACCCCAGGCCCTATTTCATTCTCAGTTGGCTGAACACTAATGCCCACAGGAGGCAGGAGATTATGATCAATCTTCTTCCTGCCAGAGGGCTTTGTATTTTACTTGAGGGAACTGCCCACCCTTCTCCCCTACAAAGGACACTGTGTGCCTGGCTATATACCCTGAGCACATGCGTTGACTTCACCTACCAACTTGACAAAGAGAAGGTTGTGCTGGTTGGAGTCTGACTTCCTGGGTCTGACTTCTAATAATTTAGTGCTTAGCTGGTCCCGAACATGTCACTTAACTTTCTGATCCATAGTTTTCTCATCAGGAAAATCAGGGAGGAGGGTGTATTGCCATGTTTAAGAATTTGTAATCTCACAGTCCCGTTTGTGATCTGTAAGATCTTGGCAAATGCTTTGTCCTCTTCAAATCCCAGTTTTCTCATCTGCAAAATACAGATAAGAACACCTTTCTCACAGGCTTCTTGACTCATTCATTCACTCACTCATTCCTTCATTCATTCATTCACAAAGTATTTACTGAGAACCTGCTCTATGCCAAAGACAACTCTCAGTGTGTTTACAGGGGATACAGCTATGAGCAAAAGAAGGTCCTGCCCTTATGAAGCTTTATCTGAGTGGACACAGAGAGTAAGAAACAATAAACAGACCTGTATTCAGCTAGTGTGGCCAGCATGAAACAAGCGAATACCTATAAATTGCTTATGCAGTGTCTGATACATGGTAAACACGAAGAAATGGGAGCTATTATTAATATTAACCATAAATATGAAAATGCATAAAATACTAATTTCAATAGCATCCAATAGGGCTATTGTGAGGATGAGGTGAAACATGTATTTATGAGTTACTTATTTTTACCTGATTAATTGAAGCAAATATAAAGAAGAATACATTAAGGTCCCCCTCACCATTTCAGTAAAGTTGGGACATTTTCTGTTGGCAGAAGCTGTTTGCATCTTGAGAGCAGAGAAACCTGACTGGCCGATGCCAATCTGAGTAATTTTGCTGAAAGCCTTGGAGGGGATACAGCTGCCCTAGAGCAGAAATCATTTAGCTTTGGTTAAGTTGAATGAGAGAAACCAGGGACCCTCAAATGGCCTCCACATTCTGTCATTGGCAAAAAGGAGACCAGTCCCTGGACCCTAAATGGAGGCTCTGACCTGGCTTGTACCTGCATCCATCTGCAGGAGATTGTCCCTCAAAACCCTGGGGTGGAATAACTCTATGCACTGACCCTGAGTGAAAAATGCAGTTGAAATATGTGGACAGGAAGAGGAGTATGTGAGAACAATAGGCAAAAATATGTGCAAGGCACACTCTCTTTTTGAAATTCTTACTGTGCGATTTTCCTAAAAACAAGTAAGCAGAGCACATTTGGCTAATGGTTTGAGTTGCATAAGTAGGGTGACTATAAAATTTATCATTCAACCTGGGACACTTTGGAGAGTGAAAGGGGACAGTATTAATAATTATACCAGAACAGCAGGAGTAAATCAGGACTGTCCTAGGGGGCAAAACAGTACACATGTTCACCCTGGGCACAGATTGTTAGGAATATCATTTCTATTTATTTTTAATGCTCAGGTTTCTTTGGGAGGAGAGGACTGTGTTTATAAAAATGTCTCAGAAGTATAACAGGCGAGTACTTCTCTGTAAGTGACAGCAATATGCCAGATATTTTGGATCCTCTCTGCATTATGTGCAAGCACTTGTACCAAGCCTTATGGGGGCTACAAAGTTGTCCAAGACATGACTAAGACCTCAAGGTACTTGTAATTTAGCAAAAGAGAGAAGCCATGTACAGTCAACCTGGACAAAGTCTCATAGACAAAAACCCTGTTGGGATTAGGGAGTTATGAGCAGCTTAGTGTTGTTGGATGAAAGGGTTTGTGGATGAGAAGATGGAGATATGGGTCAGAGCCAGATGTCACAACTTTGCACGTGGAGGATTTGGACCACTTCCTGTCCCTGCGGTCTCAGAGAAGGGGTGAGGAAAGTTCTTCATGGCCCAGGGCAGGTCTTATGCCCAAGAAGACTATGTGGTCAAGTTTTCAGGAGGGTAGCCACCCTGGTAGAACTAAAGACGAATTTTCAGTCCAGATATGACATTAAAAACAGATCCATTTTCCCCTAAATGAGTTGGCTTTTATATAAGGATGCAAACGTGGTCCGTGGGGAAAAGTACAAGAAAGCTTTTTGATGCTTAGGATCCTCCAAAGACCTAGTGGAAAAAGAAGAAGTTCTAACCTGAGAGGGGAGTGAATCGTCACAATATACAATTTCTCACCACCAGCACAGGGATTAGCACATCATGTTGGCAGAGAAGGGGCATGGGCAGAATATTCCCATTAGGGCCTCCTGGAAATTGAATTGGGAGAAGTACAGACCTTTTCGTCTGAGAGAAACGGCATCCTGTTGCCTTGGGCTATTCCCAAATGACATCTATGGCACCCTCTCTCTTATGGGACCAGCTGTGCATGGTCCTAACTCTTTTATCAGGAGGAGCCAGGTGTCTCAGTTCGGTTGTCCTGGAAATAGACTTGGAGATGGTGATTTGCATGCAGGAAGTTTATTGGGCTGTGCCCTTAGGTAGACACCTGTGAAGGAGCCAGAGCAGCAGGCTTGGGTAGAGGGAGGAACTGTACAGTGATATAATCATGACAAAGGCTTCAGTGGTTGTTATGGAGAGCTCTGGACGGGGGTGGACCCTCAAAGTTGTCCCAAGTTGAGGAAAGGGGTCAAGATTTTTGGTCCTGCTTCCTTACCTCCATACACCAGTCAAACATGCAGGATACCCCAGAAAGAAGGTGTGACCTTGGATAAGGTGATTTTTTGAGGAAAGAGACTCAGCTGAGAGCTGGCAGCTGCCAACCTCCCAGCGTGTGGGGGACTGAGGTGTGAAGACATGCTGTCCTGAAGAGGCAGTCTGGGCCAGCTACCATGGCACACGCTATGCTGGTGGTTCTCGAACTTTGATGTGGTACATCAGAGTCATCTGGAGGGTTCATTAAAATGCAGATTCCTGGGCTCCATCCCCTAGACATCCACTAAGACTGGAGTGGGGCCCAAGAATTTGTATTTCTAGCAAGTTCCCAGGCAATGCTGGGCTGGAATCCCACTTTGAGAACCACTGCACTACATCAGGCATTCAGGGACTCCTACACAGGCACAGATAGCTCATCAATGCTTGTAACACATGTAGTGAACAGCCACTCTTGTGAGCATATTTCAAAGTCTAATCAGATAGCTTTGATTATCTGTAAGATCTCAGTTTCCTACTCCTTTAGCTTGGTGACCAAAAAAAGAAAGTCTTATTGCAACCAGTCATTTACCTGGGGGGGC